ATACAGTTTGTCGTATTCAAAATATTATGTTTGTGAGATAAAAAATATTAAATCCAAAGTTTGTACAATTTTCATAAAGATTGGAAAAGAATAGAAAAATAATAGATTTCTTGATTTTCTTCAAACTTATAAAATTAGGCTTGTAATTTTATTTACATACATTTATTAATACTAAATTATGAAGAACGCAATTGAGAAAGATGGAGTGAATTTATCAAATTATAGAATGACAGTTTATTTCTTTTTAAAAAGTTTGCTACAGATTCTGGTGATGATAAAGATCTTAAAGTAAGTTAATAAGAATTTAATCATATGAGCATTTCAGTATGGAGAAATAGAATTATCAATGGCTGTTGATGTTATGTGGTGATTGACACCAAACCTAACAATTTCGAACATAAAAAGATAATGAAAGAAATATAACATCATTAATTATTGCAGGCTAGATTTTTGGACCTATAATTTAAGGAGGATAAATATGAACAGAAATCAAATGAATTTTGAAAAATTGAATCTGCAACATTGCTAAATAAGGTATAAATTCATCAAAAAAGGGATAAATTAATTTTTAAAGTTTTTAAATTTAATGAAGACTTTTATGTCAAGGGAAGATGTTTCTATTTATGTTCAACAAAAAAAATAAAAAATAAAGTTATATGCAATTACGTTTTCAACTAATATTTATTTTATACAATTACTCTCTCCTTTGGGCAATCAAGCATTTGCAATTAAAGTTTTACCAATTTTAGACGTTAAATCTGTTTTTTTTTAAACTTTTTATAAATAATATTAAAATCCATTACATTAAATATCAAAAGAGACATTTATTTTTTGTATATTCATTAATTAGAGTATTCAAGAATCATTTTCTTAGAGTTTATGAAAAAATGTTCAATGTTATTAACTTTTAATTATTCTCTATATAATGAGCATTCGAAAAAATATTTGTTCCCTATTTAATGGTTAAGTCAATATTTAATTTAGATTGAAATATGTTTCAGCAATAATTTAGTAATGCGGCTTGCTAATTCCTGAGATGAATTTTTGGCTTATTAGTTGTACCACAAATAAATTAATAGCATAATTTTTCTGTGAGAGACAATTTTATTTAAATTAGTCTTACATACTATTATTTGAGCATAGCTAAATCTCCTCTGACATCGGATTAACAAATGCAACTGAATATTCGCTTTAAAACCATGAGACCGAAGTTTTCATTTTTAAAGAATAATGTATTAATAATTCATTCTCCATAACTCTGGCACAATTAATATTTGATGCAATAGTAAAAAAAAAACTTATCTTTATCTTATAATTATTTCTAATTAATTAATTCAGTATATATTTGTAAGCCATAAATTAGGTCCATGTTGCTATTCAAGATAAATTATTTTATATAGAAGCAATATCTTCGTTGTATGATGTCAGTAAAGTTACTGATCCATACAATTTTTCTTCACTTACATCTCTATCTAAAAATTTCATTGGGTCTTATTCGAAAAAAAAGTATGTTGATTAAAATAAGAATATAAATAATTATTTAATTAATTTATTATATATAGAATTTTATTTCACATTTTTGAATCAAGTTTGTAGAAACTTTCTATTATTATTG